AAAGCTGTAAGAGCCCAGATTTGGGTATGAGCTAAAACAGAAGGCCTTGGAATTTCAGAATCTACCTGGCCACTGCTCTGAGTTCTACAAGCCCAATAAATTGTAATTTTATTCCTTGAAATTGATTTGGGTGGTTGTGAGAGACTGGGGGCCGACCTTGTTACAGACAAAACACACCTTTGCCGTGTGGACTCGGAGCCTGGGTGTTAATTGTGACCTCGCAAGCTGCATTACAATTTGTCAAAGGGCTGCAATACCCATCTTTGACAGCTATAGCTTCGTTGAACTGCGGCTGGTCACTTCTAACTTCACCTAGAGATGAACAATGCAGCCGCAAAATGTAATCCCGTTTGGTCAAACGTCTGACCCCTCTCAATCCTCATCCTTCCAGTCCAAATTTTAACATTAAACTGGTTTCATAGTAACACCATTGTTTGGAAACAGTAGTAGTTTACAATTGACTTCATTCACTGTGATAGGCAGCCTAACAAAAAGTTTGTAAGAAACGTGCGAGACTTCTTTTTGTTGCGTCAAGACAAGGGTCGAGTATCCAGGAAACGAAAATAGCGTCAGGTCGGCACATCAAGGATAAAAAAAACAATTGAAACTTGTGTTCTTGACTGGTTTTTTTATTTGTTCTGTGTTATGTGGTCTCCATTTGCTCTTTGAATGGATCTGAAGACTTTGGTTTAGACTTTGTCATATGAAATGCTAAACCAAAACATCGTTGGGTGTAGGAGGACAGATCAGACAGCTTAATCTTTTGATATAAAGAACAGAAATCTTGTATGTGAACTCTGTACAAAGGCCTCCCTGCAGGGATTGAGGCAGTACACCCATAGCAACCTAAAACAACTATATATCCAGGGTGGCTGAGACAAAGAGCTTATAAAGGTCCCGTTGACCTATGTGATCATGTGAACGTAGACCACAAAAACAACATTGAGCAAAGCCACCAAGACAGACACTACACAGAGCAGCTAAAGACACAGAAATCTTGTATGTCACCAAGTGCTTGCTGTCGAAGTGAATCTAAATAAGAGGACCGGTTGGCTTCACCGTGCACGTTCCTCGGCATGCTTTTAGCTCAATGTCCCTTGATTTAATGCGATTTGCCAGCACCTGTCAGAACAATTTCTGTGCTGGTTTCGTCAAAAATGAGAAGAAGCCGCCAAGGTCTCGGCATTCCCAGCACTGCTGGCGCTGTCAATGTGAGGGAAAAAGATCCGAACTATCCAAAGTCAACTCTTTTTTTTACTAAATAAAATGGGACTATCATATCCAAAAATCAGAACTTTTGGGTTGACTTATTTAAATGGAGGGTTAACCCAAACTCCATTTCTTAAATTTTATCGTTTCTTGATCAATTTTTTATTTAAATTAAGGATATTTTTATAAATTTATTATATAATTTTAACGGTATACTTTTTATAAAAATAGAATTGATTGGTATGGTGTTGATTAAAAAAATTATATACTATCCTATAAAAAGAATTTAAATCAAGAAATATACTGATGAAGTTTAATTTATAAATAATTTTACAAGAGCCGATCGCTTCGTCATTTCCCGACAATATAATATGATTTTCGTTTTATTTGATAATAAAAAAGAGTAGTATATATAACAAACTGTAAATAAAGACTAGCAATAACCACAACAAAAATTATAAATATATATAAGGACAAGCAAAGCTATTACTAGCACTAGTATGAATGGGAAAACAAATTTCAAAGACAATATGACTATTAGTTCACCTATCTTAATCAACTGTTTAAAACCAAAACCTTCCCGATATTTCTACAAAGTTTCATGAATAAAGAGGAAGAAAAAGCATCAAATCCATGCATTGTGCAGGAGATTTCTTTGATTCCATGGTACACATTTAAGCACCAGGCTCCTAGCCTTCAAGCCTTTTTGCATTGTCCCGTCAAAGAGGAAAAATAGGAAGCTTTATCCCACACGTTCACGTAAACTATTTTTCTTATATTATTTTATTTGCAACATGGAAGTTTAGCAGCTAACCACTTTCAAACTTACCTCTTAATCTACTCTCGAGTTCATCTTTCTATTATCAATTGTAAATACCGAAAATCGATTGAATCGATTGAATTAATCGAACTAAATAAGTAATTAATTTGAATTGATTGAATTTAATTAATTAATATTCACGTTAATTATTAATTTAATTTAAAAAGTAAATAAAACCTTTTTATTTGTCCCAAAATTTTTTTTTTAAAAAAGCCTTATCACACCAAGGTTGACCCCTTTTTGTTCAAAAAATATTTCCCTTTTGCCTTTCAGTGTCATGGAATGCCAACTTCTCCATTATTATTTATTAATGATCGATTTACATCATATAAATTAGGTTATATTCTTAATATAAGATTTATATTATTAATATTTGATTTTTTATATTGAGTTGATCGTTATTTATAAATATAAAAAACCGAATTAATTGAACAAAATAATCAATTAAAATCGATTGATTTATTTGATTAAAATATATTAATGATCGTCCATAATTGTTAGTTTCAATTTTGTTGAATTTATAAAGCCCTATGGGAGTAGGGCCCTCTTTTTTAGGCCGGAAAGGGTCACCCTGTGCCTTTAATTTTAATTAAATTCTGTATTTAAAAAGCCCAAGGCCGAAATTTTCCACAATTTCCTAGGGAGAAGCTAGAGTTATCCTGCGCCGCTGCACATGCGCAGGTTAGCACCAGCACCGCCCTCTCCTTTCTCAGCCCAACCGCGTCTTCCTTATCACCGTCGTTATTCCACTCTTCTTCTTTGACCAATTCCCCTTCAAAGTAAACTCACCCAGTTATTTTCTTTTTCGATTTCGTCGTTCTCTTCTATGTGCAAAAACAAAATGGCTGCCAGCGCGTCGGAACCTACCCCATCCCGAACTCCACGAACTCGCCCGAGTCAGTCCCCTCGAGATTCACGAACTCGGCCCAGTCAGTCCTCAATTCCTTCCACTTCTAACCCCAGCAGCGCAGCTCACACTTCCACTTCATCTTACACGAAAGGGACGTCGTCAGGGACTTCAGTTTCAAGCCGGACTTCACTCTCAAGCCTCCGAGAATCCCTCTCCGAAAATCCTCACATCTACGACATAAGCGAAATCCGAGCCGCTACCAACAACTTCTTAGCCAAACGCTACTCCTCCTCTGCCGCCTCCACCGCAGCTTGTTGGCGCTGCAACCTCCGTGGCCGTGATACCGTCGTTTTCCAACGCAAGTTCCGCCGCAAAATCCAAACTTCTCAACTCAAAGAACGATTATCCGTCATTTGCAGAAGCCATCACATGAGTATAATCAAACTCCTCGGCGCTTCCATCTCAGGTGATCACATTTACCTCGTTTATGAGTTCATCGAAGGATCGAATCTTGTTGATTGCTTGAGAAACCCTAGGAATCCGAGCTTTACTGTTCTCTCCACGTGGATTTCGAGAATGCAGATTGCTACTGACCTCGCTCACGGCCTCGATTATGTTCACCACAACACCGGATTAAATCTCAGCATCGTTCATAATCACATTAAGAGCAGTAGCATTATTGTAACGGAGCCTTCATTTAATGCAAAGATTTGCCATTTTGGAACGGCACAGCTTTGCGGCGAAACAGACGAGAACGAAATGCGAGAACTCAAACGCGAAACAGAAATCGAAGAAGTGCTTGAAGAAGGTGACGCCGCGAGTTTAAGGAAATTGAAGAGATCCGATAGTGGAGAGAGGCAGTTCGAAGGAGCTAGAGGCTACATGTCCCTGGAATTCAGATCCAGCGGCGTCGCGACACAGAAATCCGATGTATTCGCCTTCGGAGTGGTGATTTTGGAGCTGTTGTCCGGGGAGGAGCCGTTAAAATACCGGTACGATAAAAGGACCGGTGATTTCTTACGGACGTCGCTGACGGAGACGGCGGCGGCGGCGGTGGAGGCAAGGGAAACGCTGAGGAGGTGGATCGACAGGAGGTTGAACGATTCGTTTCCAGTTGAGGTGGCGGACAAGTTGATTCGTCTAGCGTTGGATTGCGTACACGTGGATCCAGATAAACGGCCAAGCATGGGACGCGTGGCAGGGAAGATTTCCAAGCTTTACCTGGAGTCCAGGATATGGTCGGATAACGTCAAACTTCCGACTGGAATCTCGGTCTCCTTGGCGCCAAGATGAGTTGGAAACATGGCGGCTAATTAATTTAATATTTCTTAAAATTGAAATAAAAGTAATGTCATTGTTATTATTTGATTTTCTAGGTAGACTCGAATTGATTTTGACAGAAGTGGAAAAATACACAGATATTTCCGTTTTTTAATTCCATGAAAAATACAGATATTCAATATTTTTAATATAGAAAGTAAAAAGTATTTAAATTAATTATAATATAGATGTTGATATTCTTATTTAAAAATAAAAAATGTAATATAAAAAAGTAAATACATTAAATGTTTAAAAATAAAAAATATATTTTGAAATATTTAAAAATATCAAATTAAGTAATTAGTACATATATTTTGTCAAAATGATAGATTTAATTCATATGCAATAATTTGTAAAAATTAAATTAATATATTTTTTAAAATTGATAATGTTTGTTTAATTATTAATTATGTTCAATTATGATATTTGGCAGTATTAATGAGATATTGAGTATAAAATAATGTAATAATTATTAAAAAAATTCAAATACGATTTTAATAGGTTTTTGGGTGGTTAGTTTGTGGTTTGATGTCTAACCTTCCCATTAAAGTGCTCAGCAATATGTTAATATAATAAGGGTGGCTCATTGGATGGTCGCCTGGATGCTTGGATGGGTCTCAGCTGATACGATCTTATCTGAAAGCTTCCGGTTTTATACACCTGGAATTGGAATTCAATGTCCATTCTTTTTGAAGTAGTCTTTTGCATTATTGATTGTTTTGTGGAAGAAGGAATCCTAGAGGGATCCCCTTTCTAGACCTTTGGAATTAATCAAATGGGAACGCAGTCTTAGTCCAAACCCCAAAGACCATGAAAATATTTTCAAAGTCTTAGTACACGAGTGGGTTTGATAGCTTCATCTGATAACATCGCCGATAACGCCAGAGTCTTAACTGGCAATTATTTGCTCAAACAATTCTGATCAGAAATCCAGAATGACAAATTTTCTCCTTTCTTTCATGCCAAACAAAAGGAAAATTGGAAAACGAAAAACTATTTGTTTACATTGCTAACAGATACTGGAATTCAAAGTCGTATGGTATTTTCTCGACGCTGATGGATATCTTGCCACTGTTGTGGCTCCTGAAGCAGTCCACCATTGATTTCCTTAATGACCCAGATGTAGGTAGCTGCTGGCATACCCACTGGACCAGTGAGTTTATGTCCACTGCGAAATCAAACATGTTTCTGAGCAGAAGCTCAGGGAATGCGATCTTTTTTGTGTTGGTCACCACAACCGAAGCTTGCAGGTACTCTAGTTTTGATTTCTCCAGTTCAGCTGCAACTCCATCAGCGGTGTATATTCTTACCTGTCAAGGAAAATTTATCTCAAGGGTCAGGTAGATTTGCCATGGAAGAGTTCCAAATTTGATCAGCTAAACTTACTGCTGGAGAAGATCGAGTTCCACAGCACAGAGCAAATGTGACATTCGGATCCGTTAACTCGAGTCCATAAAGTTTGCGGACAATGGCTTCTTGGTCTTCCTTGTCGCCCTTTTGATAAGCCTTAAAAGAGAAATCATGGTGAGACTGTCAAAGTAGAACCAAAGACAGTACCTCTATCGAGCATAGGGACAGTAAAATGTACCTCTTTGATGTTGGAAGGTGCTGGTTTCCTCAGAATATAGTGTTCCATTGCTTGAGCACTTATTGTGTTGCCCCCAACGTTGAGAGTTGCCTGATATTGTTTATTTTGTCAAAGATTAAGCCAAAATCTGATATCCGTGGACATTCCAGTTCCATACAGAACACTCAGGAAACTAATTCGGGATGTACCTTGTTCATCAGCGTCAGAAATTTTTCAGGAGTATTAGGCACACCATATTGTAGATAACCCTGTAATAGTAAAACAAGTAGATATATATATATATCATGAGGGGTTTCAATAAAAAGACAGCAGCAGAATGTGTATAATGCTACCCTGAATCATGATATAAGCTCTGGAATTAGTGTAAGATTAAGCACAAATCATCAGGCAAAGACCTCTCTCAAGATGGCATAAACAAAAGGAAAAAAAATAATCTTCTTTTCCATACTATACATGCATGATACAGGCATTGTACATGTTGATCCAGAATGCTAATTTCTGATGGTAAGTCAACGCTCTCAGATCCACCTTCTGGAGATTGCTCATCAAGACCCTGCAGATGGAAAACAGAGAAATGATCAGATTTTGTCTCTTCTTTATTCTCTTGCTTAGAAGGTGATGTTAAACGCAATTCTGCAAATTGTATATGAATGTCCATCAGAACTTGACAGATGTATCCTGTCTGTGCCTGTGAAGTTCTTGTGGCATACCTTAGCTTTTTAAGTAAAGGAATAGAACTTGAACTCGAAATGCATTTTGGGTCTATTGAACTTGATGTGAATACGACCAGGTTCTTGTAAGGGCCAACGTCTCTTGGAATAGACTCTTCCGTATCAAAGATACCGTAGGGATCTTGTTGCCTTGATTCCTTCTGTAAAGCAAGACTTGACTTCGGATTCAGGGTGTTTTCCACCCTAAAGCTTCTTGAGCTTAAGGGAGTGTTCATAGACCTGGTAAGGGGTCCTGACTTCTCCAGTTCCATTGCTCTTGATGTTCTAAGTAGCCTGATAAATATAAAGTTTAAACACTTCATGGTATTCTCAGATAGTTTGTTGGGATGCCAATTCTGACTGTTCTCGTCTGCAAGAAGTGTACTAGATAGAGATTTTGGTGGGAGGTCCCAACTGGACTCTGATACACGTTCCCTTGGCTGAAATAAAGAAAATTCAGGATATACAAACTCATAATCATAAAACCTTCCTTTCTTCATTATCAGAATCCATTGGTATAATATCATTTGAAAAGACATAATACAACAAGCTTAACAGAATCAAGGGGCCAGGACAAGAAAACTGGAGACTTACCTTTGGTGATGAATATCGAGGGTCTCGCAAAGGTGAAGGTGCCTTCAACAAACCACTTTTCCTTGGAATCCTCTCTTGAAATTTAACCTCCCCTTGGTACTGATTTTCTTTCTGATCAGAAAGCACTCTTGAGTTTCCCATTCTCTCATTTACACTGAAGTCACTTAGAGTATAATCCCCTTTAATAGCTTTGCTTATAAAATGCAAAGCCTTGGTCTCGAAAGCCATCTTTTCTTGGCCACCTTGCTTTATGGGGTTTTGGTTAGATGTACTGGATGGATGGCCCTGAATGTGACTCATTAGACTCCCAGGTTGCCATTGTTTCGATTTTGTTTCCTTGGTGACTTCCTGTTCCTGCTTCAGACCAAGTTGAAGTTGGCTTATTTGGCTTTCTAAACGAGTTATCTCACCTTCAACCATAGCCAGCTCTGCTAAGAGCTCCTTCATCTGTCAAATTCAGGAAAGATGGATAAGTCGGTCGTTCATTGTAGTTCTCTATACAAGAATGTTCAATGACATAGCAAGAAGATTACATTGCATATGGTGAAGATCACCACCCCTCAAAGCATACACAAGTGTCTTGGATTAATTGAAAGCAGCATCCAATCTTTTCTTACCTTTGGAGGAAGAAAATTTGGGATAGAGATGGAAGAACAATCCTCCTGTTGATGTACTCGTGTCAGAATCTCATGCATCTTTTCTTCTTGATTTAGCATTTTTTGAAGCATGGAGACCTATAAATGGAAAAATCATCAACGAAATCATTCATTCATATTTTTCCAGCTGACAACCCAAAGAAAACTTGGCAGAAACGGCAAAAGGTTCTACACATCTTTAAATCATAACATGTCATAATTTGCACAACAACCATAGACTGCTAATACCTAGCTAGACATTTGAATCCTTCCCAGAGCTCTAAAGTAATTGAAACTAACATTTCTTTGGCTTGCTAACTAAAATGGCTTTTCTTGTGTCTAACCTTCTTGATAAAGTTAAGCCTAATTCCAACAGGATCCATGGGCTAATATTGCTTTAATTAGGGGAAAGAAATGATATTGCTTAACATACCTTTGAGTACCTAAGAAGAAAATCATCATATGATTTCTGGGGAAAACTATGAGTTCTAAAGTGAAAAATCAATAAACCATGATGCACGATATACTCTAAATCTAATACTGATCAGTGAATTCTTAATCCATATATATATATATATATATATATATATATATATATATAGCTGTCTAATTGGCGCCATCTCTCTCCTAACTTAATCATATGGTTACTGATAATTTTTGTGCTAGCCATAAATGATTAATTTATTGCACAGTTGCACTCATACATTTATGGAGACCCATCACCTATAGATGTATGCAGTTCTTAGTCATAGGCTCAAATGTACATTTTCATTCTTCCAAATGCATGGTACTCATAGAGTACAAGGGAAGAGAATGACAGACGATCCATTCCCATACCTCTCTTTCAAGTGCCTCTCTCTTTTGCTGTCCACTAAGCTTCTTTCTCCTCTGCAATGACAAGGTAAACCAGATGAAACAAAGACTAGAATAACAGTTACTTTGTTCTTGCTGTAGTTTTAAACATTCAAGAAGCTTATCTACACCAAAACAATGAAACAGACCAAACTTACAATCTCCAACGATATGTTATCGACTGACAAATCGCCCTGGCTCGCCATGAATGCCTTCAAGACGCCCCACCAATGCCTGGAAATGGAACATTAAAAGCAGGGGTGACCAGGGTTTTGATCAAGCTGTAAGTTGGGGGGTAGACCAAAGCTTAGAGCCAAAGGAAGAGTGGCTGAGTTGTTGGTTTTGTTGCAGTTGGCGTATTAAGTGTGGAAATATAGTGTATGAGAAGATGAGGAGGAGCTTTCAGGGGTGCGGGTGGTTCAGGGATTGAGCTAACCGTCTCAATTCAGGGTGGGACATCATGCAGAGAAAACAGCAGAAGTGGGCGTTTTTTCTTTCTTTTTTCCTGCTTTGACGTAGCTTGCAATCGTGGTCTTTGGAGGATTACCTTGCGGTTATACCTTCTAGTTGAGAGGTGTTTCGTAATGTATGGCTTTAAGTAGCATTTTTAATAGTAAAAAGTTCTAAGAGTAATGATACTGCCCAAGTGGATTACTTCAAAACATACTAAAATTTGTTATTTAAGCAATGATTATTTTTGACACACATTCTATTTCTTACATATTTATCTTATTGTCTTTGTAATATTTGAGAAAATAAGACAAAATAAATAACATTGTTTCATGTTATAGGTTTTTGTTATATCTGGTCAATTCATCATGTCAAATTTTACATATATAGTAAGGACAATTGTCATCGATAATAACACTTGTTATAAATGAAATGAATAGAATAAAAAAAATAAAAACTGTGTAATTATATTTGGACATATTGATTTATATTTTTGAAATACTATATGACAATTAACATATTTTTATTTGTCAGGAGTCTTATTATTTCAAAATTAATGAACCTTATTATCAAAATCTTAGGACATTGATTTTGATGCTTAACTCACTGGTGGGTTAAAATTTATGTGTTCTTTTAGACCCAACTATATGTCCAAGGCCAAGACATTTGAACAAGACAATTTTGTCTCTTACATTGTTTTAGACTTGAGTATCCGAAGGACACATGACATTAATCTGAACTTTTTTATATAAAATAAAATAATTTTATTTAATTTGTGACATATATATAATGTGATTATATTAATTAATTATCATATAAACCAGTCGACGAGTTAACATTGTTAATTGATAAAAAAAAGTTACATGATTTGAAAGTTTGATATTAATTTATATAATATATATTTTTTTAAATATTAATTTTATTTTAAAAAAAATTAAAATAGCGTAATTAATTTTTATTCCTAATTAATTGTTGACGTAAAGTTTGTTTGTTTTTATTTATTTATTTTATTTTTTCAGTCAAGAACGAAAAAGAAAAAAATTTCCTTTTGACACGTGCAATTTTGGTCGATTCGTTAAGTCCTAAAACCCAACCAAAACCCTGACAGCTAGCCGCCCCTGCCTTGTCTCCCCTGCATCACCACTCCTCACTGTCCAGGACCGAAATGCAAACAAGCTCACTCCGAATCGAACTCCCGACAAAAATCTGAAAGTGTTTTTCGTTACCCATTTTCAGTTCTAAGATGTTGTCTCGCTGTTTCCGCTCCATTTCGCTTGTTCCACGAGATTTCGTTCACATCAATTTGTCTCATTACATATCCAAACGTCGAAACGAGTTCATGGAATCACAACAAGTTTCAGTTCCGTTTCAGCTCTAAAATGTAAAAGACCAAATACCTTACCTTTTCAACCTGACCCATGTTGAACTACTGGATGTTAGTTTGTTTACCCCATTGATCGTAAGTGATTAGCTTGGTGATCGATGGTACTAGGTTGTTTTTCCTGTTTGATGAGATGAGGAAAATATTACATTCTTAACTTTGTCTTTGTAGTTTCAAATATGTGTAGGCAACCGAGTGATTACTTTCAACCCCATTAGAAATTTCATTTAGTTACTCTAATGGAGTTGTTTGGGGCCGGAGCATGCATCAGTGAGCTTTACTGTGGCAGAATACTACATATTATTAGTGTGTGGACAATTAATGGGATTTTTTCAAGCAAGGTTCTTGTTAGTTGAGCTAATTTGGTATTCATGCAAATCATATATCGCGATTTAAGTTGCAAATTTAAGGTAAAATGAAGCCTAGTAGAACTGCCTTGGACCTAGTTAGATTGTTAGAATGATATTTGGGTATATGTTCTTCATTGCAGTGAGATCTATAGCAACTACCACTGATTCGGGTTCTGGGTTTGATGAGATGGTCATTGGACCACAGCGTAAATATTACTTCCTAGGCGGCAAAGGAGGTGTTGGAAAAACAAGCTGTGCTGCTTCCCTTGCTGTAAAATTTGCCGATCATGGTCACCCAATCATTGTGATCTCAACTGATCCTGCTCACTCCTTAAGTGATTCTTTTTCCCAAGTATCAAAGTATGCTTTCATGCTTTAACTCCTATGTGAAAATTCTCAATTGTTTCTGATTTCTCAATATATTTACTACTAGAACTTATTTAAGGGTCCACTTCTTTGACGATCTGCTTTATTCATTATCTCCAGGATTTAACAGGAGGAGTTCTTGTTCCTGTTGAAGGATTGAATTCTCTTTTATTTTCTCTCAAGGTATGTGTTGATTTTGATTTATGTTATGATTGCGTTGTTTCCAAATCTCCTCATTATTTGATGCATATGTTTAAATTTTAGCAATATGGCAGATAGACCCTGAGAAAGCTAAGGAGGATTTCCACTCTGCAAGTCAAAAGAATGGTGGAAGTGCTGTCAAAGATTTTATGGGTAGCATGGGCCTTGGGATGCTTGCTGATCAGGTAGATATAAGTATTGTTTTTATCTTCTATCAAAGTTGTTATGCACTATCTTATCATTACACACAGAACCTCTGACTATCATTCTGTTTATTATCATTAATGTGGCAGAAGAATCTCTTAAGCCTCATTCCATGTCTTCCGTGGGATTTTGATAGTTTGAGGTGCTACTAGCTAGTGAATAAGGTCCTGGTCAATAAGTTGTGCCTTGGTGCTGATTTGGTTTACATTTTTGCTTATAGTTTTCCTAAGATTGATGGCAGTTTGTTTTGGTTACTGAATTAGAATAAAGAAAGGAAGAAGTAAACCTCTTATGCTTCCTTGTAAATCAATTTTAAGAAGGTAGAATACTGGTGGAACATTTGTTAGCTTTGTGGGCGGCATTTGCCCCATTTTAGTAGCCCCTTGTACCTATTTCTGACCCAATTCTACTTATAAAAGTTTTCTTTGGTACTCTAGCAATTTTGTCTCATTCTTGTTTAAATATTTGTTCTTTTTTTTGCTGTACTTGACACTTATTTGTTAATCCTTTATAGTTAGGGGAACTAAAACTAGGAGAGCTGTTGGATACCCCCCACATGGTTTAGATGAAGCTATGGCAATTTCCAAGGCATGTGAATTCCTCGATCCATTCCAATTAACTCATACAATTTGGTTTAATATTCCTTCATTTGAGACTATTTTTTATCTTAACCCTGTAGCTCCTTTGCAGGTTATGCAATCTGTTGAATCACCGCAATATAGTAAATTTAGTCGGATAGTGTTTGATACTGCACCCACGGTCAGTGAATACTAAATTGCTTTCAAATTTTAGCATATTCAACTGCTTCTGAAATTAGTAAATATCAGTTGTCTAGTTCTTTTACTGAAATTTTTACAGGGGCATACTCTCCAGCTTTTGTCCCCGCCTGATTTTTTGGACGCATCCACAGGCAAAGTAATGAAGGTATAAAATGAAACTTTGGTTTGAATTGGAAATTCCTGCACTATTCTTCTCCACTCGTACATGGGTCCCAAGCAGATCAATTATATGTTCACTCTGCTCGGATTTATGTATAACATAAAAAACCTCATTGTGATAATAAGCTTTTGATCTGTTTTACTTTTGTTTCTCATTGTGGGTAACCTTTCCTTGTTTTGGTAACTGTTTTGATATGTTGTACTTTTGTTTCTCATTGTGGGTAACAAGCTTTTGATCTGTTTTAATGGTTGAGTATCACCAAGCAATTAGAGAAAGCAAAGGTAATGGCAATAAATGAGGCTGCATGCATCTTTGAGGAAGGAATGTGTTCCTGTTCAAAGGCTCATTGTGAATCAGATTTTACCTCCCTCCATATCCAATTGCAAATGTTGCACTACGAAAAGGAAGGTATATCCATTTCTGTTGCTTATTAGTAGTAAGCATCGAACCCTTTTCACCATATAATCCGTAAAAATCATGATTGAAACTTAGACTGCCTTTAATTGTGTGAAGTTTTTGATCCAACATCTGTAGAAGATCTTCACAGCTTCAATTTCTGTCTTTGAATGATGCAGGACCAGATGCGCACCCTTGATATGAACCAGATGATAATCTGGAACTTGCCAATATGAGGATAATTCAGGCTCCATTAGTTGATTTGGAGATGAGAGGTATTCCAGCTCTTAAGTTTACGGGGAATATGGTTTGGAGATTAATTTTTTGTTTATACATACCTGGATCATCATGTAACGAAATCTTGTTTGTAAAGCTACTTCTCTTTCCCATTTTGTTTTATTGGATTTCAGTCCAATCCAATGTTTGAGCCACAACGAATTTGCCCTATGATCATCCGCTTAGTAGGAGGGGTTACTGCTGCTTCCATGTACAGGACAAGGGTTTCTTGTCAACCGGAGCAGGCCATCCTTATGTGATTAATTTTGGGTCTCCAGCTTTTGAAACCTTTCCAGTAGATGCTCCAAATTCTGAAGAGTATTCCAAGGCAAATGATTTAGATAAAGATTTTCATATCCGTCAATGGAATTTATTCCATTTGAAGGACAAAAAGTTCTTTTTCGTTGTCTTCTGCGCTGATTTTGCATTAAACTCATATGCTAACTTCTCTTTCACTGCGCACACTTGCCTCTTTTCATTAAACTTATAAATATCCATTTTAGACCCCATTATCTAATTGAGCAAAAAAGGAAAAAAAAAATTCTCGTTATCAAACTTTTTGCTTCAAATCCATATTGTTACTGAAGTACCCGCGACAGTGTCCGAATGCATCCGACGCCAAGATACGATGTAACTGATATGGAACTCAGGTCTATTGATTTAATGGATCGTATTTTTATATGTTATTATTTATTAATTTAATGGTATTAACAATTAATTTATATAATAATTAAATTAAAACGTCTTTTTGAAATTTAAGAAAAATTATTATTTTTTATGATTAAATTATAGCATTTTTATACTTTAACAATAGTACTAATTATATAATTTTTTAATATTAACAATTAATTTAACGTTATTAGCTATTAATTTATACGACAATTAATTTAAACTATCTTTTAAAATTTATTTTATATCCTTAAATTATAACATTTTTAAATTATATAATTTAACTGAAATTATAAAATATTAATTATTAACTTACCCCTTCTAATTACTAATTTATATAATTAAAGTACAAAAAAAGCGATAAATACTAACATCAGCTCCACCCTCCAACAAGTCATCACTCTTTATTTGCATTAATGCCTCCTTGAAATAGGGGTTCTCGTACACTAACATCAGCTCATTATTAACATGTGGAGTAGTAATCTCTTCTCGTATCCTAACTTTCTTCTTGGATCTATCATCCAGGATGAAAGGTTTAGGGTTTTTTCGTAGAAAATCTTCCGTAACTCTATCAAAAATATTATTTAATTAAAATTATTAATTTAATAAGTATTAATTTATAAAGATTTTATTGTATTTTGATGAAAATATTATTTTATTATAAAGAAAGATATTTTCATCTAATCACCTATTATTTAGATTTTTCAATTACCATTTCTGAATTTCCTTAGAATAAAAAATCATTGAGAGTGGAAGAAAATAACAATAACAACAATATAAGTGTTGGGATATCTGCTTATTGTAGCAAAAGGTGCATGTGTTGGAAAATCTGTTGAGAAATCTGTTTTGGTTTTTATAATATTAATTCGGGTTTTTGTTATTTTTTATAATTTTATTTGTTGTGTGCATCCTCGATAGGATAATGATTATGTATTAATTATTAACACAAAATAAATTTTAAATTGATTGGGAAAAAAAAAAGCAATAAATAAGAAAGAAAGAAGGGTTGACTTTATTTCTTAGAGAAGGTTACCATACAAAAGAAAGCAACTGTACGGCTAAGTATGCCAGTTAGGACAAGGAAGATCAGAGACCGACCAAAATGGTTGAGATCATACCCATTTTGCAAAAGTGAACCACATCGGGTTATTAGCCACACTCCAGAATATCTGAAAGCAAACAGAAAGAATATGAACTATAATCATAAGCACTTCACATTGAAAACTGAGAGGGGGAGTACGGATATTCAATGCAAACCTTTTAGCATTTGATACTACAAAGGCTTCCAGAGCCCATTTGGTATAGCACAAGTCAGCTATAATATCAACAGCCTTGCTGTTATCACCATGAGTTGCTATCAGAGTCAAAACGACGGGAAGAAGCACTGACCACTGCATAAGGCAAAAGTAACATTTGAATCAAAGCTTCCTTTTTTTTTTTTTTAAAGTAATTTTTACGTATCAAGATTCACAGCTCTTACCAGTTGAGCTGGACCCGGTTGGAAAAGGATGGCCAATACATATGCTATGCCAGTTACACAGTATACCAGACACACTAAAACAAAGTAGTTGTCGGTGACGGATGATCTTGGATTGTTGAAGAAGTAGAACATAGAGAGATACACCAGGGGCTTGACGATTGTATTGAAATGGTCAATTGTATCTTTTGCGAGGAAGTAAGCCAGGCTGCTCATACCAGAAGAACGCTCTCTCCAGTAGTGTAGCTTGTCCAGAGAAAATGATCTCAAAGCAGCAATCTTGCATAGGAGAGCTGAAAGCAATCAGATTTAGGATTGGTGAGAGATGGATTAAGCCATTAATCTTGTAATCTTTTGATTGTCATCTGTTCACAGCTCCGAGGAACTGAATTGCATACGTATCCACGTCGTTAAAGGGATTTATTTAAACTTACAAACTGCAATAACTGTGTATGTATAACCCAATGCTCCAAATGTCTCATCGCTCACTTTAGCAAGTGTTCCTAAGCAAATCCCAGCAAGCAATAAAATTAGAAAATCTACAGCTTGTGTCCTGGCATCTCGTAACCTTTGCTTTCCAACCCTGCAAAGAAGAAAGACATAATGGATTATACTGATGGAGAGGAATAACAGATTGAAAGTGGAAGAAATATGGTGAACTAGAAGGAGTAATGCATGGTTGGTACCTTCCAAGGTAGTATCTGTACTGCTTGAATACACCAGGAGTTTCCCTTTGTGACAAGTCAATTGACTTTAGGATATTGTGCTGTAAGTTGTCCTTCTTAGTCTCAACAGAACATTTCACATCTTGCCAAAAGTCGTCAGCAAAAGACTGTGCATCTGATGTACCACCGTGTGAACTTCCTCCATGAGCTGAATTTTCACCAGATGCTGCCATTCCCTCGATACTCTTCAACATATCCATGGGAACAGGATAGCCATTATGAAGCATCCATCTCACTGGTAGTTGTTTTGTAGTCAAACCTGTGCTTGTGTTTAGCTTTACTATACCCTCCAAAATGTCAATGAAGTAATCTGGAGGATTGACACGTTCAGGGACAGTAATTCCAAGGCTAGCGAAATACTCTTCGACTTTCTTCACTGATCCATGATATACTGTAAGACCACCCTTTGCTAGAAGTATCAGATCATCAAACATCCTGAACAAGGTATAGCTGAAATGCAACAAAAAGAAAATTAGCTTCCATATGATTACTCTTTGGTAAAGCCAGCATATTTCATGAAATTCAATGATAATAAACTCACCTTGGCTGGTGAACGACCATACAAATGTTTACTCCTTCAAGAGCTTCACGTCGAAGAGCTCTAAGTAGTAATTGGGAAGATGAACTGTCCAAGCCAGATGTTGGTTCATCTAATATCAAAAGTGAAGGTTCCATTACCATTTCTAGCCCAACATTTACCCGTTTCCTTTGACCCCCAGAGATTCCCCTCTTCTCCACTGTCCCAACTAGAGAATCCCTCACGGCCTGCAACCCCAAGGACTCGATGACTCTTTCAACAACTAGAACCTTTTCTGGTTTCGGCAGGTCAGCAGCAAGTCTAAAATAATCAGGAATCCAGTTAGTGATAAGGCGAAATCAAGAGAGTGATTTTTAGTGTAGAAATGTCTTCTAATGTAGCAGTTGCAACTAAGAAAATCACACAAAAATAACTTGTAGACACCCTAAAGGAATAAAAAAAGAAAAGAAGTTGTCCCGCTTGTTGGAAATAAGAGTGGCATACCTACATCTAGCACTGAACCAGAGATTTTCCGCCACTGTCAAGTTTCCATGTACAATATCATCTTGTGGAACAAAACCTATTATTTTCTTATATGCTTGAATTGGCTCGTCCTTCCCATTTATAAGAACCGTACCAGTCATGATGCAACCCGGTGCTTTTCCAGTCAAAGCTGAAAGGAACGTTGTTTTTCCAGCCCCAGACGGACCCATAACAGCTGAAACTCGACCAGGCAATAATTTCCCAGTTACACTCCTCATTAGGTGTTTGTTTTTTCCTTTCAAAGTGATTGTTAAATCTTTGAAGGCAACCTCAATTGTAAGCCTCTTTGTGATTTCAATATCATTAGCCATTGAAATCACCCCGGAGAAAGTCAAGTTCTTGTTCTGCTCCTGGAGAGCTTTCTCCTTTTCAATTTGACCGTATGCATACCTGAACATTTGGCTCTGAGAATGCAACTGCTTCCCCCTTGGTGCATTTTTCTTTGCATGTTTATCTCCAATATCTATGTTAAATCCATCATGACTCTCAGGGTTGTCTTCTATTTCATGTAACATCTTTGTTAGGTTCCCTTTTTCCTTATTTTTTGATTGCTGAGATGCACCAAAAGGCATGGGGGGTAACGCAGCATCTGTTCCAGGTTTAGCTTGACTTACACCTCTAGTTAGGTCTGGTTGCTTTTGAGATTTTCTTTTGGAGAATGTACGTGATAACTGTGTTTGCAGCCCGATTGCATGCTTCCTAGCAATGTCTTTTGCTGATTTCCATTTTTCACGTGCTTGGGCAGTTTCTCTTACACTCTGAACTGCCTTCTCCCTGGACTGCTCTTTCCTCTTCTCTCGAGTTGCAAGAACTTGATCAGAACAATTGTATATAATGACAACTAGGAAACTTAATCCAGCCTACAATGGCAAATTCAAGAGTCAGCATTTGACTGTTGTGTCCTGATATAAAGACTAACATTGTTTACAATCAAAAGGTAAGCTGCTCACTCACAAAAAGCATGAGGCCATACGCAGTAATATTTTGATTTGATGACATTGGATTACAAGTTGCCAACCGGAAGCACTCTGCAAAGTTCAAATTGTAAAAGGTTATCTGGTCTGTGTCACACCATTAGGAAAGTAAAAAGAAAAATAGATAACCAATAGATAAACATCCAAGAAATGACAATGTAACATTGTTTGAGGAAAAACGTACTTTGTTGAGCTGTAGAACCTGTCCTGCAGTAATGTCTGAAACAAACGAAGACATAATGGTAATCAGAAGTATGAGACAGATGCATGCCATTAACGTTTAACAGCAATAAGAATCCAAAACATGCAAGGACAAAACTAATCATAAGCATGCAATTGGTATATGATAAGAGCTAGAAGTTCTAAGTTCTGGGATAATATCAATACCCCGAACTGCAAGGAAGTTTTTGGATGGTAGACGGACAGTACGATCCTGCTGAACAGAATACCTCACTACTACTGGTAATATCCGCCCAAACATCAGCTCCTCCACATGTATGGTTTGGCTTACCAGGAGGTAATTGATAACGGTATCTGCAAAGGAGTTCTGCTAATAATATTAGTGTATGCTAAAGCAGAGAAGATCAAATGAATGAATGTTATAACGAGAATGAACTTACGGGTCACATATGCCAGTAGTTTTATTGAGCTTTGCAGTTGGGCAGTAAGAACCCAATGGACAAGCTTCAGAAATGAATACAAAGGTGAGGTCAGGAATTTATAGATGACAGATAGAAAAAAAAAAAAAAGTTCTATTTCTGGTTTTCTCTCAGAGTCACTGGGTGCTTACGTATCATACAAGTAATTCCCCGAGGGCAAAAGAAGCCCTCACAACAAGGTAAGCAAGTCTGGACTCTAACAGGCATGTCCTTGGAATTTTTCAGATCAACTTTCTTATCTTTACCAGCACTGCATGCCCATCCTGGCTCGCATCCAGAAAGCCAAGATGATAAATTGCAGTTCTTGTTAGGCTTCAGAAAGGCCTTCTTTGCTTGACCTCCACTCTGATAGAAGCTGTTAAAGTAGAACTTGATTTCTGCAGCTGTGCACAGGCGTTGCAGCATGTCTCCTATTGAATCACCAATTATATAAGAGAAAATGTGCCAAAAAAATTATTCAATTTGCATAATCTTAATCTGATTTAGCTAAAATAGACACAATTTTACATTGTTCCTTATCTAGATTACGTAAAGTTTGATGCAACTTGGGTAGAACTTCATTCATATACTAAGCAGAATTGGTAAAAGGCAAGCCTAATTCCACTCTCCTCTCCCCTATCCCACCACCCCTAATCTTCCCATCACACGCACTTCACTGATCATTGTGTTGAATTAGAAGGAAAAAGGAAAAGGATTGTTTCTGCTTTAATATTGCAACAAAAGCTTCAAATGTACTGATTTGCACCTTTTGTTGTTTTGGCACAATTGGCCAAGAAATTCGTGTTTTTCGAGAAATTGAATGCGTCATTCCAATCTGCATCCCTGCAATAAAAAAGAATATGTAATGTGTTGATACAAGTTTGCAGCCATGAAAGAAAAACTGAGAAATGGGAGCATGCATGCATAACATGCGTAAATGGCATGAAGCAAAGGAAAAGAGCAGGCTTACACATCAGTAATGCAAAAAGCAAATTGTTTTTTGATATCATCCTTGAAGACATAGGAGATGTTAGAGAAGCGGCTGAAAGCAAGGTCCGAGAATAACTGAACCGCGGCCGGATTGTTGTTCAGATTCTGATTCTGATCATCGGTACTAATATCATCATCAAAATCATCATCCTCATAATCTTCACAAACACCATGAAGCAAAAAACTAAATATCAATGTCAAAACGTAAAGAATTTTATATGTATTGATCTTCTTTACAGACATTTCAATTACTTAAACTTAAAGTAAATTGAAAAAATGATTACGTAAGATGAAGAAGAATAAAAATATATTTGTACATAAGGTGAGAAACAAATTAAGAAGCTCGAAAGTAACAAAGATTTGATCGATGATAAATCGAGAGATGAAAAAAATGGAGAAAATTTTCCTTTGAATGAATGGGAATTTTTGTTTTAGGAGGTAAAGAAATGATGGCAGGGAGAAAAGAGGGGGGCGAAACAGTGGGGAGTTAGAGTTTAGACCGTTGAAACATGTGTGGAAAGGTGGCAAAGGATTGAATCTATGTCATGTCTTTTTTTATTGTGTTAATGGAAAAATTCAAAAAAATTATATATATATTATTTATAAGTGAAAATTGAAAAATTATATTTTTTATAATAATTAATATTAAAAGAATAAGATTTATATTTTTGGGTAGCTAGAATATAAATAGGAAGGGATGGGTTATGGCATGAAACGAGTACAAACGAAAGCATACTAATACTTTATGCAAAAAAATAAAAGAAGAAGCATATTAGTACTTTCCATTAGACTACAAATCAACAGATACAATGATTTTTTTTTTTTTTCCAAATCAACTTTTCACATGATCAATCTGCCACCACTGCAATGAGGCACATGGGCAGCCTGCCCACCTTATACAAATTTTATATTTTATTATTATTATTATTATTTTGTATGTTTAAACATGTATAGAAATAGTATCACTGTTTGCTTTGTACAATGGAATATAGAAAAAATAAAATAATTATTTTATAAAATTAGAATAAAATAAAATAATTATTATATAATTTGATTTTTAAAAAATAATTTTCATTTTAATGATTTTTTTCCATCTTTCTTTATTTTTTTTAATTAAAAGGAAGATTTTATTAACTTATAAGTGTCACTTTCCAAGTATCAAATAAATTTCAAAAGGGTCACAGAAAGGTCTAAGTGCAATAATTTGCTCAATTATCAATACCTTACAAAAATACTTACTTTCTAATAAATAGGGAAAAAGATGTAACACATAGTAAACCTAGTAAAAGAAAATAATTAAGTAATAATAGCACCAATAATTACTAATTTTCTTTTTAACCTAGCAATTTTCAATACTACCTTTTAACATTACACGAGAATCACATGAAATTAAATGAGTTTCGTGTCTTAAATATGTTATTACATTAAAATATGATAATTTTTTGTTTTTAGAGAATTAAATCAATTTGATTCTATAATATAGGTTTAATTTATTTAATTAATTATATTATTATGCCAATTTATATAATATAACTTGTTTTAATTCATTGATTAATCATATTGCCTGGTGTAATATGTATAATAAACATATTTATGTATATATTTATAGAATGTTAATCCATTTATATGTATATATAAATAGTTAATTTTGTAAAAAAATTTGAACAAAAAAAAAAAAGGGAAGGAGGAGATGGAGAAGATTTTGTAGCCGTCAATTAACGTTGACTGTTAGTCTGGTTCTCTAACTGTCTCTGTCAAATGACGGAAACAAAGAACTCAAACGCTCACTAAATTACGGAACCTCGTGACCTCCGTCAATTTCCCTCCTTTTTTTTTTTTTATTTTTATTTTTCATTTTCTTTCCCTTTCTAACTAAACATTTTCCCTTCAAGTAAAACTATTTTCCCACACTACACTCTCTTCATTTCTGCGGCGTCTAGACCCCGCATTTTCCTTCTCGATATTTATTGCTCTTATTATCTTCATGGATGATCATCTTTAGTTAATTGCCTTCTACTATTATTCAGCTTTTCAAGGTATACTGGATATCAGTCTCGATAATGTTATTTATTTTCTTTTGTGATGAATGAGTGTCTGCTTTTTCTTGTCTTTAAATTCTTAGTTAATGTTCTTTAATGTCATTGTCTAATCTGACACTTTGGGTTTACTAACTGAACTTTGTGCTGCTAACTCATTGTTTATTTTGATGCCATTGGGATTTTATTTGATTTTTTTTGGGGGGTAAAATCTTGCTGATCTATTTGACTTTTTGGCCGCAAAATCCATTCTTTGAAACTAAAAGTTGAAGAAAATAGAAATATTTAGGTATTATTGAATCTGGGTTTTGCATTTGTTGCTAAAGGACTAAACTTTGTTATCTTTTTTTTTTTAAAATTTTTGGGTCTAAGTTGTTCATTTCAGGAGGAAGCACATTTTGGGGCTAAGGGATTTATCTTCATTTGGAAAATGATTACGTATGAGCAAGAACATGATTTTGTTAAGTGGGGTTTGCAACTATTTAATAGTGATCCTTATGCTAATTATGGATATGGCGGTGAGCTAACTCAAGAAGATGGGGATTATTACCCTGGAAATTATTTCAAGGAGGAGTATGCTGAAGAATGTTGCAATGTAGAAAATGATGAGGCTATCGCGCATACTCTTCAACTTCAAGAACTGTCACAACTGCAAGTTGTGGGGTCTCCAAACCAAGGGGAGGAAGAAGAAGAAGAAGAAGAAGAAGAAGAAGAGGAGGAGGAGGAGGAGGAGGAGGAAGAAGCATTGCAATTGCAAGTGTCTGGTTATCCACAAGATTGTATTGATCAGTCTGTTGGGGACTTTGGTTCTGGTATAAGTGAAATTCTGAATTTCCAGTTCAATGTTTGGAGTTGCTGGTATGTCTTTAATGTGTTGCATTGCTGTGTCCATATTCTGTTTTGTGACTCATAGGCCAGGATTGCGGTCAGGAAGAGCAAGATGATACAGCACCTTCTAGTTCATGTTCTAGCCCCGAAGAAAAGTTGTTATGTGAGGAGGAGGATTGGTCATATATATTGGAGCTAACAGATGAGTATGCGCTTGATGGGGAAGTGGGGAAAAGGCTGAATCAGATGGTTCCTGTTCCTGTAAGTATGACTCTAAGCTTTAGATTCTTGATTATGACACTTCAAGTAGAGCTGTAGTTTATGCTTTCAGATTTGTCTCTGATTTTTTGTAGCATGTTCCAAAAATCAATGGTGAAATACCCTCAGTTGATCAAGCAACTTTAGATCATCAAAGGCTACTAGAAAGGTTTGCTTTCTTTGTTTCTCAGAACTGCGACTTCCTCTGTGAAGTCTTTATCTTCTTTTTGCCTTTTTCCTTTTGTCCAGAGGATTTTTTTCTCCAGGTATTTTTTGGTTGCTCTGTCACTTTTTTCATTTTTCCCCTTTGGGTGACCCTTTTTCTGAATATTTGATTCTGGAAATTCTTTTGCCATAACAGATTGCAGGTCTATAATTTGGTGGAGCTTAAAGTCGAAGGAGATGGCAACTGTCAGGTTAGCTTTTAAAGCTGAAAGCATAAAATCTAAAATGTTAACATGCAGTGATGTAGTGTAAATTTGTAATGTCTTAGATTATGGAAGCCTCTGATTGTATGAGATTGATGAGGTTTGCGGGAACTTGAATGTTCAGACAGAATAATGTATGTTTATCAAATTACATATAACAGATGATAAAGTATATGTTGTCCATTTTCTGTTTAATTATGTCTCAATTAGTTCATACTTTTTTTCCGGTATAATATAGTTCATTCTTTTTGTAAGTACACTGAGAGCTAGCATGGGTATAATTGTTCTTTCTTTCCCTATGTAAATGTTTTTGAGACATGTAGCATCAGTATAATTGAACTTGTGCTGTGTCTAACTTGTCATTACACATACTTAGGTTTCATTAATCCAAATAACGCATGGGTGTTTGTTTGATAACGGTTCCCTTTTAACATGAATTTCCTGAGTTACGAGTCCCATTGCTGGTGAAACTTTTGAATGTTGCTACTAACATTAAATCTCATTCCTGCCTTATGCTTTTAAGTCTTTATAAGTTTTCATTTTTTGCCCTGTGATGTACTTCCCAAGGGTCACGGAAGCTCCTATTTGTTACTGTAGTGCTTAATGCAAATTACATACCTGATTTCTCATTAATTTCATAATGTTGGCAGTTCCGTGCTCTATCTGATCAATTTTATCGAACTCCTGAGCATCATGAATTTGTGCGACAGCAAGTTGTAAATCAGGTTTGTCTTTCTCTTACGATTATAAAGTTTGGCTATTTTAAATGTTGAGTTTGTGTTGTAGTCTTTCATTGTATTACAGTGCATTGCACTTGAATTTTGATGTTTAACGATTCTTGTCTTGCAATATCTTGCACGATCAGCTTAAGTCTTATCCAGATATATATGAGGGGTATGTTCCCATGGCATATGGTGACTATCTGGAGAAGATGTCCAAGTATTTTTCTGATCCTATGACTTAATCATTCCTTCTTTTTGGATTATTCTTGACCTTGTTTCTTTATCATGTGGATGCTAATAGGAGTGGTGAATGGGGTGATCATGTCACTTTGCAGGCTGCTGCAGATACGGTATGCTCCAGATATTTTGATTTTCTTCTCTTGTTTGTGATAGATTGCAATTCCCCCCACCCTAAGTTTTGGTTAAATTGTTTAATTTGTCTAACCTGCATATCAATTTGGTGTTGTGAATTATCCATCTAGTTTGTTCTACAAAGTGCTATGAATTTGTAGTTACTTGAAAGATTAATCAATGCAATTTCTGTGTGCCCTGCTTTGAAGCGTACTATCTTTGTTTAAATAGGAAAAATCAGTATTCGTTATTGTGTAAATCATGCAAATATCAGCTGTCTAATGCATTGTAATGACTTGTTGCAGTATGGTGTTAAAATTTTTGTTATAACATCTTTCAAGGACACTTGTTACATTGAGATTCTTCCCAATGTTCAAAGGTCAAAACGAGGTACAATTACTATCGCTTTTGCTTCTATTAATTGCATTTATAGAATCTATGAATAGATATTTTTGCTGGATTGTCATCAGAATTGTGATTTGCAATTAGCATATTGAATGTCATTTTCCTCCTAGCATTTGGTCATCTCCTAATATATATCAGTAGTTAGAGGTGCCAGCTGTCATTGTGTGGTATAGTTTGACCCTTTAGGTTATGTTGGTTACTTGATTGGATGTCATCTCCTTTATAGATTTTTTATTCTTCCTTTTTCCTTAGCTGTTTTCTTGAGAAGAAAGATGCACTACAACTCAACCATTGTGATGCTCAGTGGAAAGTTTACATCAAAGTAATCAGTTTAATGTGTTCTCTGCAGTTATTTTTTTGAGCTTTTGGGCAGAGGTGCATTACAACTCAATATATCCATTTGGAGGTAAATATCTGTCATTGGAAATAACTTCTTCTGTATACATATTCAGCAGAGAATTAGAAGTGCACTGGTTTATCGTATTGAATGCAGCTGAGCCTGTGGTATAAATTCAAAGGCTGCTTCAGATATTGCTTAGATTGACCTTTTTTTCTTACCAGTAGCGGGTTTGAGTTGGCAAGTTTTTTTTCTGTGACTAGAATATTTTCAGTCAGTATCTGATGGAAAGAAACCCAATGTATGTCTTAAATGCCACCAAGGTTGGGAAATTACTAACTTGATAAGAGACATGGAATTGTACTCTGTATTCGCTATTTAGGCATCAGAGTTGCATGCTTTGAACCGTTTCTAGCTGAAGAGATTCCATATGGTAGTTTCGGAAATTGGATCACTCAAATAGAGTTTCCTGTCAGTGTTTCTTTTTATTGCACAATTTCTGTTGTACCTCAGACATACTGACAATAACTGTCAGTATATCAGGATAATTTATCAGACAATGTAGGATCTTTTAAGTCTGGTTTGAGGGGATGTTAGGTGCATAATATGATATGCTAGGTGGGTTTTAGGCTTTTAGCTAGCATTAGCTTCTTCTGTGGGTTTTTGTGCTTAACTTGCACAGTTTCAATGAGGATTTTAGTCAAGGCATGAAGGAGCATTTCAGGAATGGAAAGAGATGCCGAAGTAATCTGGAGATGTACGCAGGAGGAAGGATGGGGAGTGTTTGTCGGAGGCAATGAAGAAACGGGTCATCTTAACATTTTGTGAAACTGCAGATCAGTCATTTTTCAAATCTGTCTTTGTGTTGTTGCAAATTGATAATACTTGGTTTTTATATGTTGTGGTCTTTACTCAGACGTGCCTGCATTTGGGACTAAGAAGAAGAAAAGGTGGCGAATGCTTCGGAACAAGCAGCATTTGGAGTCACCAGATGAATATCAATGAACGTGCTAACAGCTTAAACTACCGGGTTTTTTACATCGCAGCTTGTTGCTTTTGCAAGAAGCTAGCTCATCTCTCGCGCCAGTTATTTTTCTACCATGTTAAATTCAGTGTTGATTTTAAGGGACAGACATCAAACCAAGGGCAGAGACATCATCTTGCTTCAATGCTCCACTTGATTGTAAATTTCCTTGGATCCAAATCTATCCTCATTTAATTTTTTTTCCAAATAAAAAAATTTCCCTAATGTAAGACTTGCAAGTTTGTTGTGCCAGGCAGTAGCCAGTAGCACCAGTGTCCTGTTATTTCTTTTGTTGTCGCCTTACATTCTGTCGTTGCTCATGGTTCGTAGTGCCAATGATGTTTTTCTGGTAGCATGCTCAGTGTCCCGGTTTTAAAAGAGAGTTGTGAATCCTACATTAATCTTTTTAGAGGGTAATGATCCTGTGACAAGTAGTAAAAATATTTTGATATTAATTTTTTAATATAATATGTATACATATATAAATAATAAAATATATTAATTACATATGAGTATTTGATTTATTGAGTGATGTATTCATTTTAAAATTTAAATTTTTTTTATTTAATATATATATATATATATATATATATATATATTAGTTTTATACCCTTGAGTTCAAATGAGTCGAACTTAAATGACCTGGACACTTGATTTTGGAGACCTGACCGGGTCAGGTTGGGACTGAACTTGTTGGTCTTTTTTCGGTATCCCTTGTTGCATTACGTATAAGGGCATTGGAACCTTAAAACAAATTGAGTTGGCCAATTTATGGTAAAATTAATGCTGGACTAATTTGAAACCAAAAGACCTTTGAGAATCATGACCAAATTGGAAAAACTCATCAGTAATGACAAGATGAGACTGATGGCCCTACTCAATTCATCGATGCTACTCTTTTGTTTAAAAACTTATAAGTTTTTTATACACGTAAGAACAATCCCACTGTTCATTTGAAGTTTACAAGATCGTGTTTAAATATTACATCTTACGAAAAATTTAAATTTGAATATTCACTAAAAAAATAAAATTACATTCTGTCAATATTTATTAGTAGAATGTCGATCGAATATAAATTACTCAACTCTTTCATTTTAGTAATATTTCTCTTTTCTTACTTATGGTGAAATATATATATATATAATTTTTTTTAAAAAATAAAACTTTGAAATCTTTGAGACATTTAAAACCAATTCTTTGAATTGCAACACATACACATAAAATCCGAGCAAATCTAGGTGGAGATATTCCCTAATCAAAAAAGGACAAGAAAAGAAGAGAGGAGGGAGGACATGTACTGTAATCAATGTATCTATTTATCCAAAGTGAACATGCAAACTCCTTTTGTCTCATTGTACTAATTCCCTCAATCTTTGCCTTCTGTGCCATGAGTTCCTGTCACCGATTGCAGCATTGCAATCTCATTGGCAGAGAATTCCAAATCAAAGTTTGTAACCAAATCAAACTCAAAAGGTGGCAAAGCAGGTTCAGCCCTCGACACCACAGACCTCTTTACCATATCCTGATTTTCAGAGACAACTTTCGGTTCACAAAAGGTCAAAGAAGGCGAGCAATCCGATGAAAACAAAAGCGGCCCAGAGGAGAATGGAGCCAAACCAGTAGTTGGGGTGGAAAGAGCTGGAGGAGTAGTGGAACCAGGCGAGGAGATTCCAGTGCCTGTCGCTGCAATGATCGATGGCTCAGCTTGGCGCAAGAGCCATGCTATGGTCTCGCCATCGGTTTTGTACCCAAGCTCTCGAGTGAGCTGGAAAATCCTAGCAGCACACACAGGCGGCAGCCTGATGCGCCTGTCTCTGCCATCAACCTTTGCATGGCGGTCCTTGGTGGTTTTGCTGGTCACAAGCTTGCTTTTCAAGCCACTCGGCTTCTTTTGAGAAAAGGGTCTCGGTTTTCTCGTGGAAGGGTTCGGCAGAGCCATCTCTAAACCTATGTTCTCCGAGGCCATCAGGATATCACACAGAGAAGAAAAATCCACTCTAAGATTCTCAGTGTTTATCAAAAAGAGAAGGAAAAGGCCTTCCAAGCACTGGAAACTTTCAACTGACAAATTTGTGTTTTGTCTCGTGTAAATTGTTGCGTTGGTTCTCTTACAGATGTGCACCAAAACCCTGAGTTTCTTCTTAGTAACGTGCCGGTGGTGATGTAAGCCCCAGCATCGTATATATATACATATATATATGGTTGGTGAAATGATGACAAGTAAACCAATCCAGGGTTAACATATATTCGAATGGAATGTGCTGTCTCTTTGACAATTATTTTCTTACTGTAAATGGATTATGGGGGGAGATGTGCCCATTGTTTGAGTTGTGTTTGAGCAGACTCTTGCTTGGTTTGCACCAGATATTCCTGTTAAACACATTTAAGACCATTGCTCAGCGAAGCATATGGATAATAAATGTTGCTTAGTTGTCATTCAAAAGAAAAAAAAAGAGCCTAATTTTGCAGCCCTTTTGAGGACTTGGGACATATACAAACTTGAGAGAGAGAGAGAGAGTTGTCTCTTTCCCCCCATTGGTTTAGAAATTGAAGAAAGTTTGGGATATTGATGGAGGGTTTTCACGTTTTCTGTTCGTTGTTTAATCATATCTATGTTAGAATAGACAGAATGTTGTTGCTGCTTTTATATATCTTTCAATTTGATTACCTTTCTTCGGATATAATAATATACATATAAATTCCATATGTAAAGAAACTTAAAAAAAGGAGCAAAGGGTTATCAAACAATTAAAATGGTTGAGTAGATTCTAAAGAAAATCAAGCAATCATGGAGGGAGCTCAAAAATTTCTTGAAGAATTAATCATGGTCATGGACCTGTTTTGATTGCATAGAGTAAACCCTCTTCCACTCTTAAGCTGTCTTTTCTTTCTCTTCTCTTCCCCATGCAAGACTCTTGTTCCATTCGTTTATGGAAGCCAGGCGGCAAAGATAAAGGCCTGCATGGGACTGTAGCAGCCAGGAGCTGCTCATTTGAGCCAAAGTACGTAGGCAACCATTTTGCTGAAGACAAAGACGAAACACAGAATTTCTTGGCGAAGAAGCAAAGATGGAAGTGAGGTGGAAGTCGGATGCAGCAACCGCCGGCTGCCATAGAAATGGCTGGTTCTAGCTGCAAACTACAGCCGGAGGGAGAAGCTCGTCAGCTAGGTGGAAGGATCGGCGAGCATTCCCGATTTACTCATTCATTGAAAGAGATTTTCGAGTAGAAGATTAAAAAATCGGTTACGAGATCAAGAAGATCAAGTGATATTTGGAAACATTGTGAAAGATCTATTTGATATAAAAGTAGAGTGATTTGGCAAGAAAAAAACCAATTTTTAAATCTGATTAACGAACAACCTGTAATCCAAAACGATTTTGTTAGGAGATTTTCAATCTTGTAATACATACATGTATATAAATACACAAGTAATGGGATGATTAAGCACGTAATTTAAGTCAGAAAAGATTCATCAAAGAATCACATGGATTGATAGCTAATAGGCAAAAATATCTTACAACTTGATTCTTTCGTTAATCATTCAATGCTAATAAGAAACTAATAATAGTACTTGGTAATTAACTTGAATGAAACAGAACCAGTTCCAGTCATGATCCTATGATGCTCGAAGAACCCCAAAACAAGCTCCTGAAGTTTTCGGTCCCCTTCGTGCAATGTCCTGCATGTACCAACTCCAGTTTACACCATTCAGCAATCCATGGAGTAATGGTCTATAACTTTTATTTACAGGGCATCCCAAAAATTAACTGCATTCAGAATGGAATAAGTGCCCGAAGCTTGAAGATTATCTATTGCAGGTTCAACATGTTAGCTGACTCTTCATACACCTGAAAGTTTGAAGGAAGTATTCAGATTTTCATCGAAATCCTTCAATGTTTTCTCCATCTTGATCCCGAGGTAGAAAGACATCAGGCACCTCCTCAATATCCTTTGCAGGCTGGTGCCATATGAAACAGTTGATAAGTAAAACAAGGAAATTGTGATAATTTATGGGACCCAAGAAGATGAAACTAGAGTACAAGAAAAACTACGAACCTGCCATAGCTCCAAAAGTCGCCATAGCAAAAAGTCGATTATCATAACCAAGCAAAAGAGCTTGCCTGCCCAAGCACCACATGAAAGATACCTAACAAACAATTAGTAACCTCATCAGCAACCCAGATATTAATCACAAAATATGCAAGATATTACATCCCACCCACCTAACGAAGAAGTTGCAACTTTTCTTATACAATTATTGTGCATTCACTAAACAATATGAGGTTGAATGCATTAACTGTCGATGATTGCCAGGTAGTGGAATCAAAGTTTTGGTTCAATTACATCCTACTCAAATTTTAATCTTCCTGCCTTCCAAATCAAACACATATCAGACACCTCAAACCAACATTAAAATCACTATGACTTTCTAATATACGAAAAAAGAAATTCCAAAAAGTTGAAAGTATCCATGTTCAACATAGGAATCCATCTGGCACCAGTTTCAATTCAAAAGTAATAGGCTAAGATTACATTAAACCAGATATTCCACCAAAAGCAGTCTCTTCAAAGTTTACATTGGAAAAATATGCAATTAAAAGTACTTGAAAAGCGTGAACCCATCATAGCACTATATTGGATTAAACATTTTTGAGAGCATCGTCCACTCAGAAAACTTTGAATGCATACCGTGAGAGACTTTCCAGGAGACTCTGATCAGAACATTTCAAAGCACGTTTATACACTATCTCTGTCCTTTTAGCAACATCATTCCAATTATAAAGCCTCTTCATCTGGCCAAAAAAGAAACGTGCAAAGAAAAATATATATTTGGCCACCTCACACAATTCAAATTACCATATACAGTAAGTCAATCAAAAAAACTTACACGATCATGCATAACTTGTGGATCAATCTTAGGAAGGATAGATATTGCCTTCTTAATTGCTTGAACCATGTCACTAGGGTCTGGTTCAGCAAGTACTATCATGTCATCGGGTAAAACCTAGAACAAATAAAAGAAAAATTATCAAGATAAAACTGCTAGAGGATAGGATCTCTAAAATAATTTTCAGTCCTCTAAGGTGAGAAAGTATAAACCAACAGGACATGACTTTAACCAGGTTAATGAGAATTTCACAAAACATGCCTCTGGGACTCCTCCAACACGTGTACTGACAGTTAATAATCCACAACTTGCAGCCTCCAATATGGCTATGCAAAAAGCTTCTGTTAAAGAACTGTTGAAAGGAAGAACAGGAATAACATAAAAAATCAGGCAAGTTGATCAGCAATTACACCTGACTGCTAAATACTCAAGGCACATCAACTTGTCTTCTATTTTCTTTTTTCCTCATTTCTTTCCTCTTCTTATTACATAAAGAATTAATCAACTAAAAGTGGGTGGTCTATAGGAACCAAACTCAATTTACCTGTTTAAGAATATGTGGCCAGAAATCAGTACAGACCGTACAGAAGCATGTGGTACAGCCCCCAACATCTCAACTCGATCTTGAAGAGAATGCTTTTCTCTCATCTCTTCCAACCTCACTCGTTTAGGTCCATCTCCTCCAACAATGAACCGAACCTTCACAGGTGTTTCCAAATGGGAGATTAAACTTAAAATAGCAGGGGAGACTACAAACGATAGCATGCTAATGTTGTACTTGGAACTAAACATCAAAATCTTCATCCAAATGAGGAACAATCACACTAATAGAAATATAACTACCCAAAGGTTAACTCAAAATAGAAACATATTGATGGATTCACCACTGAACATGTAGCAGAAATTCAGATGATTTAATGTATGAGTATGTGGGCGGTTGTGTGTGAGAGAGGAAAGAGAGCAGATGCAACATGCCAGTTGGCTAAACATGCCGATTTTTGGTCCTGTAACTGATAAAAGTAACATAAATATTAGAAAACAGTTAATGTTTTGATTCTAACATACTAACTCTGAAAACTAAACCAAAACATCGTGACTACTGAATTATTTTGGAAGGTGACAAGCAAAATCAATCATAACATGAAAAGATAATGACCATAAAAAAAATAAAAAAATGAAAAAGTGAGTATGACACAGTATTCTACACAAATAAAAAACAAACTATTGGCAGATACTGATGAAAAGACATATAAACAAAAACACACACCACACAAACAGATCTTCCAACGTAAATAGGAATTATGAGCTAAATCACCAACATATGTTAAGTGGGCATTTCTGCTCACTGTGAATTAGCAATAACAATAACCCCATTGTGAAAGATCTAACTAACGGGCATAGGTAATAAAAAGATCTAACCATCTCATACCTTGCCAGTAGCTGGTATGGAGCCACAGAGAAAAACTGAGTGAATTCCTTATTTCTAACTAATACCATGAAAAGTGAAAGTAACAGAACAAACCCCTAAATCCATATCTTTTCAGCAATACCATGGCATAAGCAACTCACATTAGGATACAAGCGGCAAACTTCTGGAATGACTTCCACAAGCAAATCTGCACCCTTTCGATAAACCAATCTACTTATCACAACAATAACAATTTCATTATGGCCAAGTCGCTCTTGAGCAGGCTTGAACATAGCCGTGTCCACAGCATTAGGAATCACAAAAACCTTTTCAGGTGGCAAACCTGATCGTAGCACTGTATTTTCCTTGCTCGTGTGAGAAACACATATGGCCCGGGTTACATCTGCTAAAGTAAACTGCAGAACCTTGTTCATGTGGATGCTTCCCACATCAGCAAAACCATACAAAGAATGATCAGTAAATACAACCTTGTATCCCATAGTGCGTGCATGCATCAAAGCCTCATGACATAGAGTCGAGAAGGCCTGATGACCATGCACAAGTGATATCTTTTCCCGAATAAGTATAGTCCTTATTACAGGTAATGTCCCGTAAAAAGTAGGTAATGTGTTCTGCATAAGAAATGGCCGCCAGGGTACATAATAAACCTTCAGACCACCTGTCATGTATCTCACTCCTGATCGATTTCCATAAGCATGGGTCATAACAACCACCTGAAATAATAGAGTAAATTTATTATTCAATCTAGGAAAAACAAAAGGACAGTGAAATTTGATGTGCCTATAAAGATTGAGGTAAAAAAAGAAAAAAAGGAAACATTTGGTTAGCAGGAAAGGAATGTTAAAAAGAGATGAAGGGAAGAAAAGGACCAAGGAATTTTAAAATATGTTGTCTGTTATTGACCAAAGAGAAAAATGAAAAACAAGATAATAATTTGAGTAAAAAGAATGGCACCGAAGAGGAGGGGGAAGACATTTAAAGAGAACCCTTCTAGAAACATCCAGGGAGAAATTAATAGTATTTTTCCAGCTAAGAAACGGCAGATCAAAAACCTTTCCCTTCTTTTTAAAGGAAAAAGATTCCCTCTTTAGGCAACAGCAGACCTAAAACCATTTCCTCTTTTTTCAGGGAACAAAAACATCATTCCACTTTTCCCATTTGTTTGCACCTGGCATACAGTGCTTACAAACAAGATTTAAAACCTAAATACTTCATAAAATTATCTAACCTTGTGACCAAGTTTTAGGAGGCATTGGGACAGATAATAAATGTGACTCTCAACACCACCAAAGTTGGGATAGAAAAAATCAGACACCATAAGAATGCTGTGCTTCAGGTCAGCCATGAAGGCAAATCAACCACCTGCAACAATAAAGTCATGAGAGAAACTAGAAGTAGATTGAAAGGAGTGCCAAAAATGAAGTAATCAAATCAACGATAAGCCGATCTTCCTCACCAGCAATGGCTGGAAATTATCCCTAGCATGCAGGGTCCCACATGTTTTGAATTGTACAGAGAGAATGCAACAGTCTAGGTTGGCTAGGGGGGATGGAAGCAAAAAAACTAACCCATCATTGGAATAAAAATAAACCCCATTCCAAATAGATGCAAATCAAAATACAGATTCATGCTAACAAATTAAAATATTGCACAAAAACAACAATAATAGTTTATGCAGCTATATTTGGGCATTCTGTCGTTTGTAAAGAGCATTGAACAATGGGCTTTGTTAGCAAATGCCCTAAGGGCACTCTTTAAGGTTAATTAAAATACCATTTATAATAACATTCTTGTATTAAATATAGTAGTTAACAGTTAATGTGATGGATTGCAATGCATTGGAAGAAAAAATTACCTAATATGGAAACCTTAAAGAGTGCCGTTAGGGCACTCACTAACAAAACCATTATGTTAAAGAAAACAAATAAAGAAAAAAGCAAAACCGAACAGTATCAGATAGTCTCCCTGACACCGAGGAAAATCCAGAACATAGAATTCAAATACATTTAGGACCAAAGGAAGTGAAAGCAGAAGCAAACAAATAGATTATATTTACAAATCTTTCACAAACTATTCTCAGATTAGTCTCCTGACACCAAGGAAAAACCAGAACACTAGAATTCAAATACATTCATATCGGGACCACAGGAAATGGAAGCAGAAGCAAACGAATAGATTACATTTATAAATCTTTTACTAACTCCAACTCAATTGAATTTCAAAAATTAAATCTTATAGAAAAGGAAGTTTATTGGCGATACAAAACTGAGCTAGAAACCTCTCACAACATAATAATTTAATACTCAAAGATTATCCAATAGCCTATGAGTGGTTTACTCAGAAACAAGTTAAGAGAGCTTAAAATCCATATTGCCAGGCTATTAAAACATTACCATTAGGACCATAAGGGGGAGATCTAAAAGTAAATCAAAAGGGTACACTAGAAAATTGCTCGAAAATTTTCTAGACAATCCAATCAGCTAACATAATGCATGCAGCTTCAAACTAAATCGGTAACCAAGATGCCATGGTTCTGCAGGTAACAAAAGAAACACAGCTATGGCAGATCAACAGGACATTTGCTATCATAGGCCTCTCTAGCATCAAGCATATCTGGCCGATATCGATTAGCAAGAACTTCAACTTGTTCAGCAAAAGACTTGACCCCATGTGGACCAACATGTTGAACCATTTGGTTCCACCGTTTTCGACATAAATCTCCAGACCTATGCTCAATAAGGTTCTCCCAGTCCACATCTTCCATGCAGCAAGCATCCAAGCTAGAAAGAGCATCTAGCATGCGATAGTCATCAGCATCAGCCCATATGCCTTCTGCTACCATAGGAGACGCTAAGCTGTAATACCATTTTTTGCAACAAAGTGCAAAACCTCTCGTTTCCATCTTGTCACTAATCGCACTCCAACAAATATTGTCTCGCAACATTCCATGCTTGGATTTCTTTTCCTCAAAAGCTTTCATAGATAAATCCAAGTTTACTAAGTCAAATAAATTCTGGTACTCCTCTTGAGACCAATTCCCTCTATTTGTATTGGTCAGTTTTATTCTACGCCAGGTATCTTTTACATGATGCCTATGCTTGCCAAGTGTGTCGGCCAACAATTTCCATCTTGGTCCATGTTTTTCAACAAACTTTTGGATGAATTCATACTCTTCAGGGGTCCATGGATGCTTCTCATCCCTTTCAAAAAGAACATGAGCTCGACGGTACACACTATCACATGGCCTCCAAGGAATGGCTGCTTGAATTTCCTTCCAACAGTTTCTGACTTTGGGGTAAGTTCTACAGTTCAGAACCATATCTAGACCTTCCTCACCTAAATTATTAGACTCAATGTAATTGGCAACAGCATCCATAACGATAGCATCTTCTTCTTTTGAGTAATGCTTACCATACACTAAGCCTTCTTTGCCATCCATGTTTGCATCAACTATACCATCCACACAAGGGAAAACCTCAACATGATCAGAGAAACTCACTTTCTTAGATATATCTTTAGGTGTAGCATCTTCAGATTGATTGGTAGTGTTGACACTTTTTCTGGTTCTTGCATCTCCTTCATGATGTTTACCCTCTATATCACTCTTCACTGATTTAGATTTCTTCTTCCTGCCTCTGTTACCATTTTCAGTATTATCAACACCACGTCCTAATTCTGTGCATTCTACCTCATTATCAGCTGGATCCTCTTTATCATTGCTGTCAACCTCACGATCTTTATATCCCTTAAAAGATTGATGCTCTTTACCATCTGAACCAGTTTTCAGAGATTTGGATTTCTTCTTCTTCTTCTTCTTGTCCCTATTGCCATCTTCATCATTATCAACAGCAATGCCTAACTTTCCGCATTCTGCTGCATTACAATTTAACTCACCATTGCTATAGAGAAACTCATGATTTTCAATCCCAGTGCTCATCTTCCTTGGTTTATCAACACCCAAACCATAATTAATGCTTTTCTTCTTTCTCTTCTTTCCCTTCCCAGAGTCCTCAACCATTTTAATGGCATTCCCGTCTTCTCGGTCTTTCTTCTTGTCAGTTTCATTTCCATCAGTTACACTGCTCATTACTGCAATATGACCATCAACATTACCAGTCACCTTCTCCAAGTTGTGCTTCTTCTTCTTTCGCTTCTCATATTCACCTTCTTTTCCATGCACCATCTTGTTAATGTCTTCAGTGCTGCAGCCTTTTAGCACCTCAACTGTCTCTTGCATTTTCCTATGTTCAAGGGTTTCAGTTGCAATAGTGACTGCATCAATCCCATCTCCAATCTTGTTCTTGTGTTTATCTTTTCTAACCCTTTTTGCTTCCAACTCAAAATTGTTCCCCAAATACATTGCCTTACTACTTTCATTTTTTATGTTCTCTTTTCCAGCTGTACAAATTTCCATTAAAGCCTCTTTAACATCACCAACTCCATCTTTACTTTTCTTATGCTTCTTTGGAGCCTTCTGAGATTCCTTTTTATCTTTGTCAAACTCTGATTTCCTCTTTTTCATCCGATCCTTCTTCTTTTCATAGTTATCCTCCTTCCTCTTATTCTTATCATGATCTCTATTGATTAATCTGGAAACATCATTCATATTCCCAGCTGACACATCCAAAAAATCACTTTCCTTATTAACAACATTGCCTTGTTCAACCTGGTTATTCTCCCTTTTATGCCCATCCTTTTCCCGCATCTTCTTACCCATGTTGTCAAAAGCTTCCCTTGAAAAATTTTCCTAGCTATCTCAAATCCTCATGCAAAGCTGAAAGCAAGACAACACACAAAAATAAGTCCAAAAGCGGTACTTCAGTAGCATCCCCTTCAAATAAATCCTAACTCATGTAGCTTATTTGATTCCAAAACTTGAAGCAAATCAATGTTTTTTCTTGGGCTACAAAAAATTTGTATTTATGACAACAATTTGGATCAAGAATAATAGTTGAAAAAAATTGTTCTCTGCTTCTATGTACAATAAATTTTATAGATATATTAATGCATAAGAGAACCAACTCCACTCTTACAATAATTCCAAAATATTATTAGGATATAAATAAATTACTAAGATGCAAAGATTTTAGGTGTTCAAGAAGTCACATTGTTTGATCCCCTCACACGTCAAATCACCGCTAAGCATGCTCTTACACATGCTGTAACAGAGATGACAAAGAAGTTGCTGAATTTTTAAACCAAGCAAATGAAAGAGAACATCAAAAGTTATGGGAAGAAGGTACCTTAAAATTCTAGGATAGTCTTTTCACTCTGTTATTGGAAAGACCGTATTGGCTCTGATGGGTCCCTTAGTGGCCCAGATTCTGTTAAAAGTATGAGACTCCCACTAAAACTGAGATGAAACTAATATCAGCTCACAAAGTAAAATCCAATTTAAGAATCCAAATCACTGTCTTCTTCTCCAAAATCAACTAAAACAGCTATGAGTCCAGCCACTATTCCGGCCTTTCCTCCTACACCTACTATCTAAAAAGGTACTACATAGTTATTCGTTCTATCACTTCTTCCTTACTATCCATAAAGGTTTTCACTACTCCAATCTAGATGCCGTTTACTACTAATTTTATTAGATTTCAGAAATATAATACAATTCACAAGAAATCAAAGCATTCATTCAAGATCATTCCAAAACAACAAACAAACAGCTCAAGAATTTCTTTGAAAATGATAATAAATTCGAATTTACGGATTTGATTGATCAAATTCCAGTTCTTACCGGTCAAAAACTCTCGATTGATCCGCAAAATCTTTGTTGCGATTCGGATTGTGGTTACTAAATTATACCACCTTAACGATCACTGCAAAATTTTGAATTCCAAAGTTCAAGCACTTTTTTCCATTTTTGCAAAGATTTTATTGCATCCAGAAATAATCAAAAATTGCAGAAAACTAAACGGTGAAAATGGCGGGAAAGGCAGAGTCTGCTGACCTAATAGAGTGAGCTCAGAGAGTGACGAAGATCGACAGCAATGGCGATAACAGGGGAATTTCAAGGGTTTCTGAATTGGAGGACGATTTGGGGAAAGAAAAGGTTAAAACGAGCTTTGGCCTTCAAGAGAGATATCTGTTGGGCTTTTGATCCTAATTCTTCTAATGGATTGGCCCATTTATGGTTGGCCTATGAGCCCTCATTTCTTTTGAAAAAAACAGTAGTAATAAACAGCTTATGACTAGTAATAATTTATTTTTATTATTATTGTTGTTATATGAAAAAAAAAATGTATAAATTTCATTAATCTCTGATAATTTTTTTTTTATTCTCTGATAAATTTAATAAGGTAAAATTTAATTTCTAACATATAATAAAATTATTAAAATTACATTCGGTCAGTTTAATTTGAATATTTTGAAAATAAAATTAATTAATTTTTTATAAATCGATCTAAATATAACTTAAAAATCGAATAATCAAACTGAATTATGTCAATTAGTTTTATTAATTATTATTATTATTTACTCTTTTTTTCAGTAATTTTAACAATATTTTTAATCATATTTTTTAAATAAATAAATAAAATTACTCATCTTCATATTTTAAGAAAAAAAATTCATCTTACAAAGATATTGTTGTTAAAAATGTTAAAATATATAATATTTAAAAATATATTAGTAATTAGGTTGAACAATTTTCGGGAAGCATAAAGGCGTAAAACGAGGGAGGGTTCTACGAAATGGAAGAATGTTCTGGAAGCATTTGACGCTTATTAAAAACCAAACCCTAAGACCCAACGTCCTGGTTCTCAGTCTCCTACCTGCCTCCTTATCCACTCTCAAACCACTCTCTCACGACCCCAAGGAAGAAAAAGAAAGCTTCTTCTTTGTTAGCTTTTTGGTCATCAAAGAGAAGAAATGGCCTCTGCTAATGCTCTTTCTTCAGCTTCCATTCTTTGCTCTCCCAAGCAGGTAACTTTCTTTGATGGGTTCATTTCATATTTCCTTCTTCAAGCTGCAAAAACACTGTCTTTTGAGTTTTAATGATGGAAGTTTGATTTTTTTTGCATCTGGGTGATTGAATTAATGATGAAAGTTTGGTGCTTTTAGAGGCTTTAATGGGTGTTTGATGGTTGCAGGGGGGTTTGAGGAGGAGGGGAAATCAGCCGCAGAACCCGAGGCTAAATTATCGGCAAGGAAACAGCCGATTTGCTGTGAGAGCTTCTGCAAAGGAAATTGCGTTTGACCAGAGCTCAAGGACTGCAATGCAAGCTGGCATTGATAAGCTTGCTGATGCTGTTGCCCTTACTCTTGGTCCTAGGGGTAACTTCTTTTTCCATCATTCCCCATTGTTGTTATGGTACCTGATACTCATTTATGTTTAAGTGTTGGGAAATTTTTGCTTTGAGTCTATTCATGTTTGGGATAAAGGAAGGAAAAGCTGATTCAAGTCCAATGGAGAGTGGAAATTTTGCTTAGTTTGTTTAAGAAAATTTGAGGTTCATAATTGTCTGATGTATGTATATGCTCTTGACTAAATTGCTTTTTTTCTCTGTGTCCACATGTAGCTTTTCAACTTTTTCATGTTTCATGGCACACGGCTTGTTTTCTGAACTGATACATTATGCTTTAATGAAATTTTGATATGTTTGTTTGGAATTTTTTGTTGAACTTAGAATCCCTGATTTTACTTATTGTGATGGCTAGTTAGAAACATACTCAATTATATTAACTGCCACTTGTTTGCTATTCTAAAGGGAGGAATGTTGTATTGGATGAATTTGGAAGCCCAAAGGTAGTCAATGATGGAGTGACAATAGCCAGAGCTATTGAGCTACCTGATGCCATGGAAAATGCTGGTGCAGCTCTTATTAGAGAGGTTGGCTCATAATCTATTTACCGATGTCCCACTGATGATATGCTTTATATGCCTTTAATCTCACTATGCCATGGTCATTGACACTGACATGCTGTTTCATTTATTTTTACTTTTTTGGCTGTTGGATGAAGGTGGCAAGTAAAACAAATGACTCTGCTGGTGATGGGACGACTACGGCATCTGTACTTGCACGAGAAATAATCAAACTAGGACTTCTGAGTGTTACCTCTGGTGCAAATCCAGTCTCAGTAAAGAGGGGAATTGATAAAACTGTACAAAGGTTGGTAGAAGAGCTGGAAAAGAAGGCCAGACCTGTTAAAGGTCGTGATGATATCAAAGGTATGGTGCGCAAATGTAGACTGCACACCATATTATCAACCAGCTCCTCTCTTTTATTTATTGTATTGCAATACTCATACTTTTACTTTCAGCTGTGGCTTCCATTTCTGCTGGAAATGATGACCTTATTGGAACAATGATTGCTGATGCAATTGACAAGGTTGGGCCTGATGGTGTTCTGTCCATTGAGTCATCATCCTCATTTGAGACCACAGTTGATGTTGAGGAAGGAATGGAGGTGTGTCTTGCTTCAGATTGCAAATGATTTTTAAAAATTGTGCAGGGGTAACACATGTTTTGGTGGCAGTTGAGGTATGATTCTTATTCTAATTATCCTTGTTTCCCTTTCTGTGCATTGCAGATTGACAGAGGTTACATCTCCCCACAATTTGTAACAAATCCTGAGAAATTGATTTGTGAATTTGAGAATGCAAGAGTGTTGATAACTGATCAAAAGATTTCAGCAATAAAGGACATAATTCCACTGTTGGAGAAGACTACTCAGTTGAGGTCTCCTTTGCTTATAATTGCTGAAGATGTCACCGGAGAGGCGCTGGCGACACTTGTGGTGAACAAGCTGCGGGGTATTCTCAATGTTGCTGCCATTAAAGCTCCTGGTTTTGGTGAGAGGAGAAAAGCTCTCCTTCAAGACATTGCCATTCTGACTGGTATGTAAACTATTGTGGCAAGATTCCCTTTTTGCTTTATTGTGACATTGCTCCATGGTGTTTACTGTTTGTTTCATTATCTATACTGCAGGTGCTCAGTTCCAAGCTAGTGATTTGGGTTTGCATGTTGAGAACACCTCAGTCGAGCAGCTTGGTATAGCCAGAAAAGTGGTCATTAGCAAGGATTCAACTCAACTAATTGCTGAGGCTGCTTCAAAGGATGAGATACAAGCTAGAGTGGCACAACTAAAGAAGGAGTTGGCTGAGACAGATTCTGTTTATGACTCGGAGAAATTGGCAGAAAGGATTGCCAAATTATCTGGTGGTGTTGCAGTCATCAAGGCGGGGGCTGCAACAGAGACTGAACTTGAGGATCGCAAGCTACGGATTGAAGATGCCAAGAATGCTACTTTTGCTGCCATAGAGGAAGGGATTGTGCCTGGTGGTGGTGCTGCATTTGTTCATCTCACAGCTTGTGTTCCTGCAATTAAGGACAAGCTTGAAGATCCAGATGAGCGCTTGGGAGCTGACATTGTGCAGAAGGTAAACTTACTCAAGATTTGCTGTCTAAATGATGATTGAATTTGGTTTGACTATTTTGGATACTCCATTTTACCACAAAGGATGCTATATATGGAAATGTCATAAATGTGGACTTGCAGTCGGCAAGACATTTAATGCTTTAAAGCCATATGGTTTAACTGAATCAACATTTATGTTTTTACTTTTTTAAACCATACTGATTCATTATGTTTGCATGCAGGCTCTGGTTGCACCAGCCTCACTGATAGCTCAAAATGCAGGAATGGAGGGTGAGGTAGTCGTGGAGAAGGTGAAGAATAGTGAATGGGAGATTGGTTACAATGCATTGACAGACAAATATGAGAACTTGCTCGGGGCTGGAGTTATTGACCCAGCTAAGGTGACAAGATGTGCACTGCAGAATGCATCTTCAGTTGCAGGAATGGTCCTTACCACTCAGGCCATTGTTGTTGAGAAGCCCAAGCCTAAGGCTCCCGCCGCTGCTGCTGCTCAAGGTCTTACAATTTAATCATTAGGACCTATATGCCGGTTAGGTTTTCTAGAGATGAAGAGTGATATTCTTGCGGTAAATCACAAGAAAATGCCAGATGACCTGAGGTTTTACTCATTAGAAATGTGCCTTATTTTTGTATGGATTAATAAAAGATTATGTAGCCCGGCAGTGTAATCGTAGGGATCTTGAACAATATCAATAGACATTGCGTAAAATATTTTTCTCGCCACAATTATGTGTGTTATACACGACTAGAATGGTAAGCTGCCCTGTGTTATTCTGCAATTCCTGCACGGTGTCCATTCCCTCCCTTAAGTAACTCTCTGCCGTCTTCTTTCCAAAGCTCCGCCACACCAAGGCTGCAGCCACAGCTTCCTTCTCTAGCCAGGCTCTTCATCAAGGCCACCACATTGTCTCCTCTTCTCTCCACTGTCCTTCAGTGATCGTTTGAAGTTCAATGTACTCTCGAAACTCACTTGGTCAGTAAATTCTCTATCAACTTCCAAGCAATCTTCTGTTCAAGTTCAATTTTTGTTCCTTTTCCCTTGAGATTTGAGTTAAGTTGTTCTTGAGATTTTCATTTTTACCTTTTCTCTCTTCTTTATTCATGTCTTAGACAATTATTTTGCTTCAATTCTTAGCCGTGGAAATCAAGGATGATCCTCGAAAACGGCTCACTCAATTCTGGTGAAGCAAGGAGCTGAAGCTCTACGGGCAAAGAGCTACACTTTCTCCACTTACAATGCTTTGTTTAACGTTTCTCAAAAGAAATACAGGCACCCAACTTCGGATTCAAACCTCCCTCTCAAACGCTTGAATGAGGGAGGTTCTTCAAATTTTGGATTGAATTACACTTTACCCTTTTCTCCTCCATGGACCATTTCATTCCCTTCTGTTGCTACAACATTGAATCAGGAAGCGAGGTGCATGACAAAAGCTAGACGATTTGGGGTTTCTACATCGGTGCTTTATGTTGTAAACCATCTGTTGCAAACGCTGAACATTTTAGTATGTGGAAGGTCCTTCTGTCATTGACATGTTAGTCAGAAATGGTAGTAATCAGCTGGTAGAATTCCGTTATTCTGAATAGAAGAAGGAATCATTCTGTGTCTAACTTCTTTTTGTACTACGATCAG